TGTAATTAATAGTATCTTATGTTAAGATTACAAGAATATTCACCCTTGATGAACTATTTTATCTTCCTTGAACCCATTCTTTTATTAGAGCCACAGTTCTTACCTAGGGGTGATCCTCTTCCACCAGGATATTTGGCAATGTCCAGAGATGTTTCTGTTTGTCACAACCAGGGGGGAGGTGGGGTGCTGCTGGCCTCTAGTGGGTACAGGTCAGAGATGCTGCTCAATATCCTACGATGTGACAGACTGTTTTCCCATCCAAAATGTGCCAAGGTTGAGAAACCCTGTTTCAGAGTAATTTATTAAAAGCGAAGTGAAGGAAGTTGTATGGCCAGGTTTGGTGGCTCATGCCTGGAATCCCCCAGCACTTTGGGAGGCTGAGATGGGAGGATTGCTTGAGGCCAGAAGTTCAGGACCAGCCTGGGCAACATAGTGAGTCCCTGTCTCTGCAAAAAATTAAAAAAGAAATTAGCTGGATATTGTGGTGTGCATCTGTAGTCCCTGTTACATGGGAGGCTGAGACATGAAAATCGCTTGAGCCCAGGAATTTGAGGTTATAGTGAGCTGTGATCAGGCCACTACACTCTAGTCTGGGAAACCAGTCTCTTAAAAAAAAAAAAAGTGAGGTTGTAGGAATGAAGAAGTGAAATCTTCAAGTTTGTTTATTTTACAAGGTAGACTTGATACCTCACTGACAATCAGCAGGGGCATCTAATGAACCTGAAAAGATAGTGTGTCGGTGGTTCCACTAAAGACTCTTCTAGACCAGGTGCAGTGGCTCATGTCTATAGTCCCAGCTACCAAGGAGGCTGAGGCAAGAGCATTGCTTGAGGCCAGGAGTTCAAGGCTGCAGTGAGCTATGATCATGCCACAGCACTCTGACCTGGGTGACAGAGCAAGGACCTCATCTCTTAAAAAAGAAGAAAAAGATTGTTCTATATTTTTGGCAGTGGTGGAAGTTAAGAGTTTGGATCATAAAAGTGAGAGGAAGTCACCTTTTCTGGCTTGCTTTTCCTGGCTTGTTAATTTTCCAAGTGAAGATGTGGTTTTCTTGCACAAAACTATATATAGCACTTAAACACAAATAACTTTACATATAACCAGTGACATTTGAGTAAGTTCTGTGGATTATGCCAATGTCAATTTCCTGGTTTTGATATTGTACTACAGTTACGCAAGAGGTTAACATTAGGGGAGGAAGATGCTAAGTGCATGGTACTGTCCTGTATATTTCTTTCTAACTTTTTGTGAATCTTAAGTTCAAAATAAAATTAAAAAAAAAAAAAAAAGATGTGGTTTTCACCACTATAGTGAAAACAGGCATTAGCTCCTCTTGAGCACCTGTTAAATGTCAATTTTGACTTGTTTGCATGTAGGTAGGGTTGTGAATTCAGTTCTAGCTCTCCTGTAGACCTATATCTCTTTTTAACGTCTGTTGGTAAAGCCTGGAATTCCATTGAACTAGAAAAATAGACTAAGATCAAAATGGGTAAGGAATGAATGATTCCCCATAGTCCTTTTTGCTGTTTATTTTAGCAAAGGAAGGTTTGGTTAATTGATTCCAGGAAAAGAGTGTAGGTGTACACATGCTTGTGTGCAAGCATGCTTGATCCTTTTGTAATCTAAGAATGGTTGTAAATGCAGCATTATTTTACTTGGAAAATGCTAATTTTAAAAATCAAAAGACAATTTCCTACTTCTTTCATAAGAACATTGGAAATCACTTAATGAATTGAAGGCATTTTTACTGCAGTTTATGTAGTTTTCACAATGTTGCATAATTCACTTTATTCATAAATAAAATTCACTTCATTTTGTTCGACAAGATGGAAAAAGAGAGCTGAATCTAAACATAGTTTTAGTACCCTTTATTCTTGACTGTTAGTACGTATATACTTTTATGAAAAACTGGAATTTTTCGTGTTTTATTTTGGGGGTAAGCTATTAGAAAGTTGTTGGCCTGTGAGATACTAGTCATTTTGCTCTACCCTGTAATAAAGTCTGTTTCTGTTTTATAATAACCACCAAATTATGTGTTCAGTTTTATCCAGGTCCTAAAGACAGGGATGAGTATATTGGGGAGAAAGACTTTCTGTTAGCCTTTGTAAGCCTCGATCCTAGCCATGCCTAGGTTTTTCATTTCAAACTAACAGTTTTGGGGGGAGGTAGGGTTGCAGAAAAGTAAACACAAATACAATGATGTTTTCTGCATCAAACTAGAGCTGAATTTCTGTTGATCTTTGATGAGGGGTATTGGCTTGCAATCTTTTTCTTTTTTTACAGAGGAAAATAGTCAAGAAAAGGGACCACATCTCTTTAAGAAGCGGGTAGGTCAACAGAGCCACCTACCTACATGGTTTAATTTAAAGATGGAATCCAAGGAAGCTGCTCCTAATGTTTGTTAATCCCCCCACTCCCGTTAGGTGATTTTATATACAGAGCCTTCTCGACTTGCCCACATTCGAAAAATTGCCTGTGTTTCTAGGATGCAAAACCAGGAAATACATGTCCCTTGAAATTTCAGCTGGGTGCAGTGGCTCACACCTATAATCCCAGCTCTTTGGGAGGCCAACGCAGGAGGGTTGCTTGAGGCCAGGAGTTTCCTGGGCAACATAATGACCCTGTCTCTATAGCTGGGTATGGTGATGTGTGTCTGTAGCCCTATCTACTTGGGAGGCTGAGGCAGGAGGATCGATCCCTGGAGCCCAG